TGGAATTATGGACTTGATCTGGACTGGGCTGGAATGTTTTATTGATGCACAATTACTTCTTGATATAAAGTTCTATCTTACACATGAGTGTCAATGAATTTGTTTCTCTAGTCAACTCGGTCTAACACAGTTACTGTCTCCACACTTGAGTCAGGAAAGGCTTTGTGAGGGATCTGGTGGCTGGTGGGAGGGAGAAAGTGGACCAGTCGCCGTCGTCACTGGAGTCTGGAATCTCAGGAGTAACATGACAGCAAGGCGCCTCAGTCGGTGGTCTCCTACGCTGGGACAGGCTGAGCTAAGGAAACTCGAAGGTGGCTGTGCCCTAATTTGAGTCTGACAGCCTGAGCAAGGCCAGCTCTCTGAGATAAAACTAAGTAGTTATCACCTGGAGCCTCTCTGGTGGCTGATTTTCAAGGAAAATGGGTTTTCACCTGACTCGGCCGGCCTTCTTCAGCACTCGGAAGTTAAGGCAATAAAACAAAATTCAGGCTAGAACCCTGTGGTGAAGTTCTACTCTGTCTTACGGAATGACAAGTTTGACAGACTCGATGGCAACAAGCTTGGTTTCTGCAGGATAAAGTGCTTAGCTCTGATTCCTCATGTGTGAATTGCCCCAGAAACGCATTTCCCACGTCTCAGGAAGTAAATAAAGCACAGATGAAACCGTCATGGGATTCACTTTCCTTCTTACGTAAGGGCCACAGGATGCAGGCTTAGCAGGTGCCAGCGGGAGCAAGCCAGCTGGCTTAGTGAACAGAACCCATCACCTTCCTAGGCTCCCACTTACCCGTTTAACTACAACCTAAGGCCTTTCACCTGTCTGGGTCCCCGGGCAGGAGGGTCAGAAGTCATTGTCACTCTCATCCAGGGGCTCGGGTTTTCGGACCCTCCGAATGGGCTTCGCTGGGGACAGAGCAATGCTCTCCTCTTCCAGGTCGTCGTCGTCATCTTCCTCGTCGTTGTCTTCCAAGTCAATTTCACTGTCTTCCGAGTCCTCCTAGAGAGAGACAACAGCAAACAGATATTTGGGGGCCTTTTCTTGTTGTCAACACCTGTTCGCAGAGTCCCTGCCTCCTCCTTTACCCGCAGCTCATGGGGTGAAAGTCCAGTAAGTATCAGACCTCAAGATCGATCGGCGCCAAGTCTACAAACTGCCAGTGGACCATACAACACCTGAATGGGTCCTTCAAACACTGATGCACCTCTGGGGCAGGCACTGCTGGCTGCTCCAGCACTGATGTCCTGGGAGCCCTGTGGGCTCCATGGGTGCAGCTGTGCTCCTAGGCACCGAGACCCAACGCTGCAGGGCTCAGAGGGAGGGGAAGGCAGGCTTGCTATTATTTTTTTGCCAGGCTAGGGATGGACAGGAAAACAGGAAATGGGTGTAAGGTACAAGGCAAGGAGACGCCCCCCCCTTCATCTTCTCCCTGGTCTGAACGCATCTTTTCTGGTCCCTGGAGACGGTCTTGGTTGAACAGGGCCCTGTCCTCCATCCCGGGAATCCTTCAGTCGTGGGTCACCCAGGCAGCTGTGCCTGCTAACCAGATCATCCATTCCTGCCAGTGTGCACACAGGCTGGTACAGGCAGACCTCAGGGATAGTCCAGCGGGGCTCCAGACCACCACAGTGCAGCCTCATCCCCGCTTGCCCAGCACAAAGAAAAGCAGCGGTGACACTAGAGCAGTGGTTCTCAACCTTCCTAATGCCGCAAGCCTTCAATACAGTTCCTCATGTTGTGACCCCCCAACCATAACATTATTTTTGTTACTACTTCATCACTGTAATTTTGCTACTGTTATGAATTGGGCGACCCCTGTGAAAGGGTCGTTCGACCCCCAAGAGGTCGCCACCCACAGGTTGAGAACCGTGGCACTACACAGAAGTGTCTAGCAAGTGCACGCCATTGTGATGAGAATGCCCCAAGTATCTCAGGAATGACCAAGCTGGGACACGCAGACTGGAAGTGGGCATGTGCCACCACTGGGAAATGGTACCAAGCGATTTGCTTGATGCAAGGTGGCTACAGACCACAAATTTGAAAAAAAAAAAAATTAAATGCAGTATCTTTGACTCGCAGTAAAGTGAAATAAATCAAGATCTGTGTGTGTGCCCCTCTTTCACTGACACACACGTGCCCACACACCTTTCTCACGCTAGAAGCCCGTCTCTCTCCAGCAGTCCCGCCCGAATCTGTTTCCCCTACAGCAGGCTCACTGAGGGAGGTGCGGAGCTCACCAGCCTGCTCCCTTGCATCCCTCCCTGCCAGCCCTCTCCCATCTGACTGCTTCCGAACCCATCACCACTGCCACCCTGCAACTGCCTGTCCAGCTCACTCACTGTGACCCAGCGCTCTCTGTGTCACTCCGTGGGGCCGCAGGGCCAGCTCCACTGCCTCTCTCACTGGCCCCCAGCATGCGGCCCTGTCAGGCCAGCACCACTGGGCCCCAGTGCACAAGCCACAATCGGCAGGCCCGAATGCCCTTCCCCTGCACTCGGACCTCTGCTTACATGCCCTTGTCAGATCACTGCCCAGGAAAGAGGGACAAGCTGGGTGGCACCAACAAGCTGACACAACAGGGCTGACCTCATCTGCCACTCTAGCGCCATTTCCTACACAGTCACCGGTCAGTCCTGCCCAAGCCTGCCCAGCCGTTTTGTGACCTATGGTACAAGCTCAGCTCTTGGGAGGCCCTCCTTCCATGTTCTGGCCCAGATGGAGGCCAAGAAGGGCATTGTTCCTGGCACCTCTTCCCCCCCTATTGAAGGCAGAGGAGCCCAATTCCAGCTTCCTGTCTCTGGGCTCCGAGCTCCAAGCACTGCTCTCCTGGCCAGCAGAGGCCTCTCTCCCTTCACTCGGCAGGCAGCTCCAGGTGGGCTTGGTTCTGAGCAGCTGCTTGCCCGGGAGGGGCACCACCCCTGGGCTAACAGGCACATCTGACTCCCCCCAGGTTCAGACTTAGATGGATGAGGACAAAGAGAAAACCAACCTGCTTCTTGGTGTTGGAGGTCTTGCTTGTACCTACGTGAGCCGCTGCTGCTTCCGTCTTTGGAAAGCGAGAGCAGAGAGGAGAAAAAGAGAAAAAGCAGGGCAAGCACGTCCATTTGCACAGAAAAGAAACGAGTGACAGACCGGGAGCTATTCGAGGAGAGGTGAGGCGAGCCGAGGCCGGGCTGGCCGATGGATGCCTGGCTGTGCAGCCCGCGGTAGTCTAGTCTAGAAGGCCAGCCGAGGCCGGGCAGGCCTGAACCGACATGTCAGTGGGAGCTGTAGGGACTTACATCATCATCTGAGTCTCCGCCTTGCATTGTGCCCACGATGCGCTTGTTGGGTCTCCCTGGGGACAAGGAAAGCAAGGAGGACAATGAGAATCCCCGACCCAAAGAGCTCTGGTGGGACCGTGGTTACATGCTTAGCTGTTGGCTTGAACACCGCCAGGTTGGCTTGAACCCACCTCGGGGCTCCGTGGGAGAAGAACCTGGCAAATCTGCCTCTATACAGATGACAGCCAAAGAAACCCAATGGGTCATTCTACTCTGTGACATGGGGCCACTCAATAGCACCTAACAATTACAACAGTGGGTTATGAGTTGGGCTGCAAACCACAAAGTCAGCAGTTCAAACCCACCAGCTGCTCTGTGCAAGCAAGAGTAGACCGTCTCAGAAACCCACCTATCCTGTAAGGTCGGAATGGCTCAATGGCCCCGAGTTTGGTTTTCTAGGTATGCCAGGACTTAGCACAGGACTAAATGGTGATAGGTGCCATTCTAATCAGGGCCACCAGGGTCAGACCCTGACAGGATGGCAGAAAAACATAGAACAGAGCCTCAATTCCTGCAAAGAAAAAGAAAAAGACAAAACAGACTTACTGGACTGGGACTGGAGGGTTCCCTGAGATACTCTTCAAACCTGGACCTGAAATTAACCCCTGAGGCCACCCTGTGGCTGAATGACAGACTGGCTCCCAAACTGTCAGGCCACAGCTGCCAGCTCCAGGACAGAAGCAGGAGACCAGAGGCCAACAAAAACTTTCACAAGAAGGTGAGATGGGGCTGGCTGGGGAGCCACTGGAGAGGGATCAGGAGAATCTTCACACATGCCCTGTCCCAGAGCAAGCAACTCAGGTCAAAACCATCCACCGGGAACCTACCCTGCTGTGTCACACTTCACTGAGAACCCAACAACACAGCATTAAAAAGGTCAGAGATGAGAAGCCAGGCACCTCGTTGGCCCATGAGAAGACAGCAATGCCGTAAATGAGGACAGCTAAGCCTGGGACTAGGGCAAGGCCTATAACAGCACAGCACCCGGGGTCCACATCAGGAAAGATGGCGCTGCAGGCCTCCAAGGTCCCTGTGTGCACACATTAGAAAGGTGACAGATAAATGAGGAATGCTTTCAAAGGCAAAGGGAGCAACTTAGCAGGATCTATGAGAAAAAAGATTTAGCTAGCCAACAAGGCAGGAAGTGTAGAAACTTCTTGGGAAAAATTGATCTGCTCTGTAAACTTTCACCCAAACAACAAGATTAAAAAACAGAACAATTAGATAGCCTTTGACCTAGAACACCACTTTTAATGACGTGGCCCAAAGAGATGATTTCAGGGAGAAAAGAGTGGAAATGACCTAAATGCTGAGCACCTGGGAAGAGTCTTAGGAAGCGATGGGCCGGCCAGGCCAAGTGCTGCCTGGCAGCCTTTAGAAAGAATGATGTTGCCTCAACTGTACTGGCTGGCCTGCAGAGGGCTCCAAGAGACTTAATTAAAAAAAAAAAAGACCAGATGCCCTGCAGGGTGTGTATTCATAATCCCATTTAGGTCTAAAAAACCTGCTAAGGGTCTCTCTGGATAGAATAGGCTGGATGAACAATCTGGA